TCAAAAATATTTCCTGAAACAGGTATTTTCATAGAGTTGAAAGGATGTAAAATAAATGCAAATAACATGATTTGTAGCTAGTATCTCTGTCCACACTCATCTGGGAAACTATGGTATCAACAATTATGTTAGACTAGATGGTACTTGTGAACATTTTGGTGCTGTAACTCTCTCAGGATGATTTTAGAATTCCAAAGTGATCATGTGCATGTAAGAGAGATCCCTGGTGTAAAACATTATTCAGCCCTTGGGAATCTAATTTATCCTTTCAGTAGTGTCCTTAACATGCCAGTTAAGCAGTTTTTTGCACTAGTAGTTTTAAGCACAGTAGCATTTTTGCTTTGGTGCCTGATGTTGTCATGGGGCATCTGAATAGGCTGTAACTTGCAGTTGTGCAGTTCTCCATGGGTTTTGTATCTGGTATGTCTTCCCTGCACTAAAGAACACAAAGTAGGACTTCTTAAAGTTGCTTACAACCACTCCACCCGCTAAAAGAAGAGATACTCAAGAAGAATACACTGGCTGATTTCAGTGTTGTTTTGCTGCGCCTCTCCCACAGTTTATTTTTAATCATTCTCATGAATGATTTACTATTCCCATTCTATCATGTTACTTTTTCGTTGTTGTCTCCAGCAGGCAAAAAGCTTTCAAAGGGTTCCTTAGGGTTTAATGTATTGTTTGTCCTAGATATTGGGCATGACTTATTCAGAAATGTGTAATAAATACACAGCTCCTCTCGTTTCTGATTGTTTGCACAGCCAACAGATTAATGGATGACTAGGTGATGGATGAATTCTCCATTCTAGAGGAAGTTAGGGAGGGTGTATGGGTGCAGGTGGGATCTCCAAGGTCATATGTAAATGCTTGTGAGCTCATTCATGTCTATGGTGATGCACCATTTTATAGCAGTGGATAATGTGCCAGTTTAACTCAGAGATTTTACCTCTGGGATGTCTTTCCTGGTAGTGGCTTTGTGTGGTTATCCCTGACTATGCTGTACAGCTACAATACTTCTGTCTTCAAAGATGTATGCTTATAAATAGTTACTTTTAGTTTGTAGATATCCAGTTCTTTTGATTAGTAGCACCTACTGTGCCTAAAGAAGGCCCTTATTTTCCCTGTTTGCTTTTTTCCCTGGCGCACTGAGACAAGGAGTGCTGCAACAAGGGGTTTTGATAGTTTAGTCTATCTGCTGCTAGGATAAGTTTCTGTGTGAGTCTGTGAACTCTGGATGATGTTTACTAATACATGTTTGATAAAACTTCTTTTCACTTTATAGATAATGAATTATGAATCTCAGTGCCACTGCTGCTCCCACAGAGACCTGCAGTGAACAACTGAGTCATACAGAAGCAGCTTGAAATGTCTCCCCTTGCGGATGTAAGGGAGTCCCATCGCTTTCTTGGCAGAGAGTCCTGAGCTACTGTGTTCTGCACCCTGCGAAATGTTCAGGTGGGCAGGAGGGTGAATGACTTGGCCCCTGCACCTTGTCTGGCAGTGTGCTAATTCTGGTGCACAGGGAGGCATATGCTGTGATGCGTGCAGGCAGATTGCTCACAGTTTACTCAGTTCCTGGAGCAGCAGGGAAATGGGCAAAGTAGTGGTGGGCTGCCAAGTCACAGCCTGCTAGCTAGGTTGCTTGAGAGTCAGCACAAACCACCTTATCCCCTGCTAGGGAGTAAACTGCTCAGTAATGTCTTCTCTTACCCTAGCAAAGATCTTAAAGAGGCAGTTCTGTAGCTTACTTCAGGTTGTCTGATTTTACTACAGATTTGCCTGATTTTTGCCTGTGTACTTATTGTGCTCCAGATCTGCAAACAGTGTTGTGTTTGCCATAGTGATTCCAACCTACATATTTCTGCTGAGAGATCTCTGGAAGACATGATCCGTGTTGGGGAGGTCTGTCTCCCTACATCTGTGGACTTTGCACAGGGCTATTGCACAAGGGCTGTGCAATATATTCTTCCAAAAAAATCTGCTAATGAGAACAAGTGAATCAAAGGAGAGTTATTAGTCATGGGTTTGCCATAGCAGTCTCTTTCATGGACTGCTGCCTAATGGCTGCTTCTCAATAAATAAATAAAAATATCAGATAAAATGAAGTCAAATTCTTAAGCCTTTACTCAGGACCAGCTGAGCTTCAGCCATTCTCTCTGACCACTTTTGAAAGCTTGGCATGCATCACTTGCATGGGAGAGTTGCGCCAGAGCTGTGAAAAGCCCTGTATGTTTTAACTCTTGTCCTGTGTCTTATATCTTCCCGATTTCCCACTTATACTAACTGTGTTTAAAGCTTTTTAGAGGGTCTGTCATTGTGCACAGTCCATGCTAACACATTAAGGACAGACAGGATTCTGTTCTCAAATCCTGCTTTGAAAATCTCTTCATAATATGTCCCTGGAAGAAACTCCTGGTTTGTTTATTTTGATTTGTCCTTCGGCTGTGGCTGGATGCCTGGTCATGGGCCAGAACGAAACTGGCTGAGTACCAACACAGAGCAATTTGCAGCTCCATGTAAGTGACTTCAGTTCATTTTGGCCATATCTCTGCAGCATTTCCCAGAGCCAGTCATCTGTGCTTCAGCTGATTGGGGTGCAAACTGAACTCTGGCTTGCCTGGCTGAGCCTGCCAAGAAAAGCATTAGCTAAGCAGAAACAGCTTGTAGCTGAGGGCAAAGGTGAGCATGCATTAAGTATCCACATCTTGATACAGAAAGGATGCAGCTACAATCAAAACAGGGGAAAGGGGACTGGGGAGACAGACAGCCGCCTGAGGTGACTCAGGAGTGCATGCCACACTGCTTGCTGAGAAAGGCCTCTTTGTCTCCCTGCATTATGCCTGCCTGTTTTGACTGAGATGCAGAACAAATGCAAGAAACCCACCTATATGGCGTTGATAATATTTTTCTGTTTCTTGGCATTGCTTTGTTGTGCTCTGAAAGGCCTTGAATGTGTTGGACCATTGTGCATATCTCAGCCCCAGCCAAGCAGAGATATCTGTGCAGCTGACTTTGCAGTTCCCTTCTCCCTAACGTGCAGGCTAGAGGATAGAGAGGGTGTCTAAAAGCTGGGGCACCTTTCTAACACGAGAATTCACTGCTGAATCACAGCTGGGAGACAGGAGAAAGGGACTGAAGTTCTTCCTCTGTGTCTAGGAAGCAGTGGGGAGCAGAGATGGGGAGGAGACCTTTAACCATCACCTACCCCTTTAGCACTGGCTGGTGGGTATGCCTGATCCCATGTCATACAGCATGACATTGCTCCCCTGTTCCCATTTAGATTAGAGCTTCGCAAGTGTGACCTGCATTTCCAGACCTTATTTTGAACATAGCTAATGCAAGCCTGCTCTGGCAGAAGCCCTGCTGTGCCCATGAGTATCCCTCAAAGAGACAGGACAGCATTTCTTATCAGTTTTATGAGGAATGGTCTTATCAGAGTTCTTGGACTTCACCTGGATACGCACAATTCCTTCTTGTTCCGACAAGACTTTACCACTTTGATAAATTCTATCTATAACATCAGCCCCGCCATAGGCTATAGATAACATGATAAAATGGACTTGACTTCCAGTTACAACCAGTTTTGTTTTCAGACTGTCTTTCATATCTATTTCTGCACTGGAAAAATGGTTGGACTGTGGGCCTTGAAGCCATAAGGCTGAACATGAGAGATACCAGTTCTGTGTTTACCTGAACTTTGGCAGCATTCAAAAGATTGGATTTACAACTTGACCTCTGTATCTACCAAATGCCTGTTTGGCAAAATAGTTTTCTTGAATGGCACGCCCTGATTCGGGATTCAGCTCGGTGCTATTTGGTGGGGCTGTTTTGTGGGAAGAGGTAGATTCCTCCTCCTGCAGTGGGTTTAGGTCCAGCCAGGAGACACTTTGGGTGTTGGTATGAGGTAGTACAGTCCTTTAGCAGTCTTGGCTGCTGTTAGCGAGAGGTAATTCTAACAACAGAGAATAATGCCTGGAATGTAATGCTTATTTCTTTTAGATGCCCCTTGCTTTGATGTCCAGCAGAGACAACCTCTGAGGCCATTGGCATGACAGTAGCTTTGGTCACTTTTGGGAATTTGGGACTATGTGGGCTCAAAACCGTTCCCTTTGCATGGGCGGGCTGAGATAAGCCCCGTGTCTGAGCTCCAGTCCTGTGACTTACTTGAATCTTTCCCATTTCCCATTAACTGTGTAGCTTTAAAAGTTAAACAGCAAGCCTCTTCTCTTCAGACCCTCTTCTTTCTTTGTTGCTCTCATGTTCGTTCTCATTCCAGCTCCCTAAGGGGAAAACCAAATGCCATTTGCAGTTCACTGCTGTGTATTACATTTATTGCCTCAGTCTTTCTCTCTTGCAGAGCACGAACCCAGCCGACCAACTTCTTATCAGTTTGACAGGCTGTGACTGTTGTCCTGGTGACCAGCATAGTTGCACTATCATCACGTACAGAAGGCAGCAAAAGAGATGCCTCGACCTGTGGATGTAGCTGTGCCTGCGCATGATATGCCAGTAAGTCAGTGGGATACAGGAAGATAAGGTCCAAGTCTTGGTCTATGTATGTGAAAGATGAAGCAAAACCAAAATGGAGAAGCATGCAAAGTTAATAGCTATAAAAGAAGAAATGAGAATGTGCGTAGGAGTTGCAAATGCTCAACTCTTCTCAGCATCTGATCTGTGTGCCCATAATTTAGTGCATTTGTATTTGAGAGAAGCTTGCCCACCAGCCTGCTGCCTCTTTGCCTTTCTGTCTTTTTCTACCCTCTCCATTTCTTCCATTTCTTCCTTAGGTTTATGGAATGAGAAAGAATAATGTTAGTAACACTTCTGAGTCACGTTTTCCATCCAGACACACCATGCTTAACCCATTCATACACACACCCCTGTACAACGTCGACTCCAATTCACTAATTACTCACGTGAATTGATCAGACCGATTTTTTAGTGCTCTGTCACAGATTATCTCCTAGGTGCTAACAGAAAGCCCTGCTTTGAACTGCATACGATCCAAGTGGAAGACAAGGAACAACAGATGGAAAGAGATGGGTAAGGGGAGCGCAAAGAAACAGTGAGACATCATTACTCAGCACATAGGCAACGGTGTCAGCACACCAGCTGCCTAACACTTGGGACAGCTTTTGCAGGCTACGCAGTGTGTTCTTGTTTTAGTGTTGGCTAGTTCGCTTAGATATTGTCAGCTTTCAGCCATCGAAGTCAATATGGGATGGGGTAACCTAGATAAAACCAGATCCTGGCTAGTACAGGCTATATGTTAGTTAGGGGACAAGAACATACTCAGGTCTTCTACCTGTGAAAGGCTGGTAACAAGCCTGCCGTTTTCTGTGCTGAGCAGGGACAGCTTTAATCTACTGGGGTCCAAGTGGGGCACGGCCCAGAGGCTCGTGTGCCCCGTGTTACGTGTGCGGTGGCATGGTAGTGTAGCCGTGGTTGCTATGGGGAGGAAGTGTCTGGTTAATCCCCAGCCCAGCTAATCTTCCATGGCTAATTGAGGGTTGAATATGGTTGGTTTACTGTAAAACCTGGCCTTTCTGAACACTTATTACCAGGCATAGCTCCACAGTGATCAACAGTCCTGCACTAGACCCAAAATTGTGGGAAGGTATGTCTGAGCTGCTGCCTGTCTTGTTTTGCTTATGTATCTATGCCCTTAGCATTGCCCTTGCCTGTGTTTGCTTATCTGCGACTTCCAAAGGCCTTGCAGCAGATAGGATGCTCCGCTAGACCTGCCCACTGTCTGCTCACATCTGTGTATCTCCAAGCAGCCTGCGTGGGGGGGGGATTTCTGTGGGCAGCATTGGGAGGGGGAGCTGATGCAGCAGATCTGTCTCCCAGGAAGGTCTCTAAGGCGATGCTTCAGGGCAGGCTGTGTTTCAGTGGTGGTGACAGGGAGAAGGGATATGCTTGTGAACAACATGAGTCACACCCCATGCCAGGGCTCCTGGTGGGAGATGCCACATCTCCTGGCTGCAGGATCAGAGCCCTGCTGACTAATGAGGAGAGGTTTAAGGATGTTAGGATGGAGCTTCTGTCATGTAAAATTCATGGTGCTAGCAGGCCACCTTAAATAAAACATTACCCTCCCTGAAACAGACACAAAGTTTTCATTTCATGCTTGTAAAAAAACACAAAGAAAGGATGTTTAAAGAATGAGGGAATTCAGGACTGTTTTGAATGTGCCAGTCTGATGTGACCCTGAATCTGCTTTCACGGCAGCTTTGCACTGGAGTGACGCATGCACGTTGCCCATGAGGAAACAGCAGTGAGGGAACATCATTTCAGTTAGAGGAGGAGAGGACTCATGCTTTCTGAGTAGCAGAAAGAGAGGAGTTGCATTTCTCACCTCTGCAATAGCTTCAGTTCTGGGGTGGCTCCATGAGCTTCAGTGACACAGTGAATGCATGGTGCTGGTGGGCAGCAGAGCAGACCCGCACCAGCTCTCTTGTTACGGGACAGCTGATAACCTGGCTCCCATTACACTTCTGCTTCTGCTTTTTGTTCGCCTGCCTGCCTGTGCCTATTGTCCTGCACTCATTAGTACTTCTGTTACTGAGATCAGACTGTTTTCCTTGGGCTGCTCATAACTGTCCTAGGTGTTGTGTATACTGAAATTTCTAAGGGACTTGTGAAAGTCCCGTGTACCTTGGGCTAGTAAGGCACCATTATGTGGCCCTTCCTTTGTAACATGAGTTCTTCCTCTTATGGGAAGCCTGATAAATGAAGAAGAAGCTATTGTTTGTTGTTGTTACAAAAGGCTCTTGAGATAAATGGGAATCTGGCACCAACAACTAACTGTGTAATTTCGGGAGGGTAACTGAAATGGCTGGAAAGCAGTTTCTGCTACTAATGAGTGCAGTGAATAATTGCTGCCTTCAATTCTTTTTCAAGGCAGTATTAGTTTGCTGATTTTAACAATAAGATGGAGAACGCATGTGTCAGTGACTGATAAAGTATGTTTTATTTTTGTATGAATTGATCCCCAAAAAGTGTAGTTACAGAAAATTCCGTGCAATATCACATGCAATGTGTTGCAGGTGATAGGTAGCAGAAGAGACCCATGTGTGAGTCTTATGTGAGGGATGGAAAAAAAATGGGAAGTTTGGGGTATAAGAAGCCATATTCGTGATGTTTATCCCAAACCACTGGTTTTCCTGGAAGCAATGTTAGAATCATGTGGCATAGCAGCATTAGATGATGACACAGTGATGCATGGCTAACCCTCCAGCCAGCTTGTATCACCCAGGCCATTCCAGCAAGTTTGTAGGATATGTCCCATGTTCTTAAAACACTTCTGAGCATCCTTGCATATGATTCTCAATCACCACCCCAGAAACACAGAGCTGTGCCACATGTAAGAGGGCCTAGCCGTTCCCCATTCATTTGTGCTGTTTCTATTTGCAGGAAAATCTACAGTTGCCTGCCCTGCGTGGAGGATGTAGTTTGTGTAGCTTTATCTCCAGTGCATACCTAATGCTCAGTGGCAGCGTGGTCTTTGCTGGAGAAATGTTATTTGTAGTTTGGAAGTTGAGTTGGATCTTTTCCAGTTGTTCTTGTCTCTGCCTGTGTTGTTTCTTTTGAAGTTCTCATTTCTTTTTGGGGGGAGTCACCTAGATGGTACCAGCAGTTAGCTCAGTGAGGCAGACTGCCTGGGATGGGAGCTTCAGGGCTTGAGATCAATTACGAAGGACAGTTGAAAACAGCCTTTCTGAATTTGAGTGTGTGCAGCATGTTGGTGGATTGCCAAAGAGGCAGTTGGGACCCCAAAAGGGCCCCAGTTCCTGGGGCAGCAGTTCCTGGGCAGAAGCAGAAAAGGTGTCAGCAAGCACCAGGCCCTCCCAGCCAGCTCAAGCCCTTCCCTTTCTCCCATGGCAGGAGCAGCCTGTCCCCATGCTTTCATCCTCTCAGCAGCAAAATCTGATGTTACTTGCATGGTTTTGAAGCCAGGAGCCAGCAATGTCTCCCAGCCGTGCAGAAGTCCTGGGCTAGGGGTGGTGACCTGGGGAGGTGGGCAAGCAGGATTTCTGTGCAGGGCTCCCCTCCTGCTGAGATGCAGCAACTTTTGCTGGGGCTGTTGCCAGATATGCAGCCCATAAAGGCACGTGACTCATCAGCCATACAGCTGACCCTATGCCCTCGCAGATCATATATATCTGAATTTTTACAGGTGAGTGGAAAGTCAGAAGACCTGTGGGCCTGGAGACTAGTTTCTGGCACTTTTTGTGGTGGTTAATTTCTGGAAATTTAGGCTGTGGTTCGTCTGCTCTGAAATACATACATTGACGTCTGAGCTACTCATTCTGAATTCCTTCTATTGTTGATGGAGAGAATTAGGCAGTGCTGGTATGCTGCTTGACTGGCCTATTTTAGATGTCTGCATTTGCTTGGGAGGAAGGGCACTGCCTATGCCCGTGCCTTTTTTCTGGTTATAAAAGCAGTCTGGATTATCAGCAGAGTTGTAGACTTCTCACACTGGCCATGCAAGGTTAGTAAAAGGATTCACATCCCCAGAACTTGAACTGCCTGTTAACTCACACACTGGGCAAAGAATCTGGATTTCCCAGACAGGCCAGATGAAAACCAGGCAGGTAGAGACCTCGACACAGAGGGTCCCTGCTAGGTCCCGGCCATAGGGGCCCTCTCCCCCTCAGGGAGGATCCACCCTGGCTTGGTTGTCTGATGGATATCCATCAGGGTTGTGACCACTAACCTGCTGAATGAAAAGCTGATACGGGATTTAGTTGCCTCGAGTTGTTTTGCTTGTGCCAAGGAGGCAGGAAGAGGTCTCAGGAAATAAACTTGAATCTCTGGACAAGTTTTCTGTTGCTGAACTTGGCTCTCCTGCTGACTTTTGTCTAGCTGCTGAGATCTTGGGTTTACCCTTTCAGGAGTTGTGAAGATCTAAGTAAAAGTGCAGTGTTTTGTAAGATCCTTCAAACTCTGCCTGATTCCCCACCTCCCATAACCCCCTGGCATCTTTTCTGCTCCATATCCTTGTCCCTTGTTACCTGCATCACTGCCTTGCCTTTTCATAGCCTCTCTGTGCTCTTGTCTGGTTTGATTTGCTCACTGCTGCATGTACTTTTTTTTATTGACTGCCAAGGCATGCAACCTGCAAGGCCTCTTGATTGAGTCTGACTTTGCATTTTAAAAAGAGGCCTGAGATCTCAGTAACCCACCCAAAGAACTAAAAAAACAAACCACCCCAAACAAGACAGACAGGAAAATATACAGTGGATCTTTCTGTGCTCTCATAAATAAAAGTCAGACAATCACATGGTTTTCTAAAAATAACAGCCATAGTGAGCATTTCGGTAGGAATAATACTGACCTAGTTTGCATGTTGCCCACATACAAAAATAAGTTGGTGAGGAAAACCCAATTGCCTGATGTGGTATTTGCATTTGCTGAACCAGATCTGAATTGAGAGGTGGTTAATTAGATCTTACATTCTCCTCTCGGCGGCCCCTCTGGAAGTTTCAGGGAAGAGGGGACGGGGGGATGCTCGCTGGCAGCATGGCCCATAGCAGTTGCTTGCCTTCTGCATGGGCTGGATGTGTGGGTTGCACCTGTGTGGTGCAGTCAGTGAGGGTCCTCATGAGCAGAAGTCCTCTTCTGTAGACTCAGTCCAGGATGTTCATGTCTGGAGAAAGGGCAGAATATCTCTGTGATCAGAGGACCTGAATGTATGTATGTGAATTTAGCCTTCTGTCTCCATCTGGGAGGCAGATCAAAACGCTTTGGTACTGAAGGAAACCTCCCTTGACTGCCCAGCTCATGCCCACCCCCAGTACTCGGTCTGTGCTCCTGTCCTTGTCCCTGCGGCCAGCACTGCAGCATAGCCCTGGGGTGGGAGCTGTAACTTGCAGGACATGAGAGTGTCTTGCACTAGCCCCTGCCTGCCAGCTCCTTCTCATCCCGCCAGAGGGGATGCTGCTCCGGTGCTGGCCTGGACCTGGAGCTGCTCCCTGTGGGCAGCTTGGCATCAGTGACAGCAGTGACAGCAGCCGTCAAGGGCTAGCATCAAGCTG